TGGTAAAACTCCGAGCCCCATGCCTGACAGAAACTCAAGGAAGTAGGGAAATGTCACTTAATGTCCCTTTGTTTTTCGGCTCCGCCCATTACATCTTGTTGCCTCTCTGTGAACTGAATCAGGCAAACCAACTGGGTTTCTTTATTCCTTGGATTAGAGTCTGTTCCCTCAGTATGGAGGGCATTCTCACAAAAACAGCCAAGACCTTTGCAGGCTGGACTATTTATTTCTGGTAAGGTGTTTGCACAGATGAAGGACTGAGGAGTTATGGGTGCCAGGCTAACTGGGCAAACTGCTTTGTGCTCTAGAACCCTGAATGAGGAGTTCTGAGTGTTGCTGTTGAGAGAGACCTCCTCTTTATTTTATTTTTTTTTATTTTTATTTTTTGCTTTGGGTCAGTAAAAATGATATCTGAGTTCAAACATAAACTTTTGAAAACTTCCTAAGGCCCTAACTAGTCAGGAATCCAGTCTGTACCATTTTTAAAAGATTTATTTCGGTTATTTTAGTTTGTGTGTGTGTGTGGTGTGTGCGCACACACATCCTCTCAGCGTCTAGAAGTGCATGTCCTGTCTCCGGGAGTTAGTCATAGGCAGCTTTGTAGGTACAAGGCACCAAACCTGGACCCTCTGCAAAAGCAGCAAGTGCAAGTGTCTCAACCCCAAACGCAGCTACCAGCTGTATAATGATTAGAGTATCGATACTATTTTAACTTAAGCTCTCCTCTGCCTTCAGCTACCTCTAGCTTTTGAGTTTATTTCTATCCCTCTGGAGTTACAAGGACAAACTTGTCTCTCTTCTGTGAGTTTCTGATGGAAGGAAGCCAATGCTTTTTTAATACTAGTGCATAAAGATTTATATAAGAATATCAAAACATAGACCATTTCACTCTCTAAAATTAACTAGGAATCTGTTTATGGTGGCCATGGCAACAAGTGGGCAATATATATAATCTACCTGTAGCTTAAGCTTTAACAGAGTTATAAGTTCCCAAACATCATTGTCAAGGTTGAAGATCTGGTTTAGACTTCATAGGCCGGTGTTAGGGCATTGGCAAGCTGACTGATCCCAAACCAAGGTTCCCCAACCGGAAGGAAGTAGAGACTGTGGTGGGTGTTGAGAGCTAGCAATTAAGTACAAAACCTGCTTTCATATGTGTGTGGAAGGCAGGTTGCTGTATTAGTTCCAGCACTGTTGTAGTTTCCGTGAATGAATAGTTTGAGTTGCATAGGTTACCATCTCACACATTCTTCAAATGAAATCTCAATTTAAAAACAGATAACACAGACAGTTGGGGTAATGGCCCTAAGATCTGTGATGGCAACTTGGGAAACATCTGATCTGAGAGCTGAGCTCTAACAATTTGTTTGTTTGTTTGTTGTTTGTTTGTTTGTTTGAGGGCAAAGAGAGCAAATTTGCCTGGTGAATGCAAACATCATCCAAAAGAGACCAGATGGGCAAGGAGCCTAGGAAGCCTCTGGGGTGACAGAAATCTCACACAGAGCAAGTCACAGGTTCAGGATACGGAAATGTCCTCGGCCATTCAGCACCATCCCGACGACGACAAGCTTTTCATAGTTGATACAGTCATTACCGTCCTCCTGCTCTGCCACCAGCCTCTCTACTTCTTCCTCTGCCATCTTCTCACCCAATACAGCAAGGACATGGATTTCAACACCCAAGATGGTACGCCCCCCTTCCTTCTCAAATACACAAAGGCCTTCAACATAATACTCATGACTTCCCTAGGCCTTCTTCTTGGCCATAGTCTGTAGCATGGGCAGGAAGTGATCAGAGTCTAGCACCCCCACATTCATCTCATCACTCTTGGGGTTCCCCAGGACCTTGAGCACCTCAGTGTTGGTAGGGTTCTGGCCCAAGGCTTTCATCACGTCCCCACATTTGCGGTACAGGTACAGGCCTTTGCTTGTTCTGTCTGGTGGGCCTCCTTGAATTCTGTTGTCTCGTCATCTGTGAAGTCACACATCTTGGCTGCTCAACTCTGTGGGACCTTTTCTGGCAGTAATGACCAGTTCTAATGATTTTAAATTCCAAACCATATGTGACCTTGTGTTTGAAAGTACTTGGTAAAATATAAAGTGGACAATAAATGTAGAGATTATTATGAATCACATTAAAAAGCATGTTATTTGTAAGTCTAAAGCATACACAAAGTAGTATTACCCTTACAAAAATAGCCAAAATGGCTTCTGTGAAAACTCCAGCCTTCTACACTTTTTCTGTGGTTGAGTTTGTGTCCAAAGCCTTATAATGACCCTTTTCATTCCAGACTCTCTTTTAAAAGTCCAGGGAGCTTGCTAATGACGGGGACAATTTCACCAAACTGAAGGGCATTCAATGGCATGCACTGGATACATCAGTTGGCATTTTCTGTGTAACAAACCAGTGTGACACTGAGCAGTGTAACATAATTATTGCCCCACTATTTCTTGGTTAATAATTTGAGCTGGGATCAGCTGCATAGCCACTCTGGTGAACTGGCCTTGGTGTATTCAGACAGCTACAGGCAGTAGGTCAGTGTGTGGCCAATTCTTTGTGCCAGTGAAATAACATGTGCCTGCTATCTAGGAAGCTAGCTCAGGCTTTTCCACATGGTGGTTGAGTTCTGTATGTAAGAGAGGCTAGGAGCAGAGGCCACAATATCCCTCCCTCCCTAAGATCAGAAGTACACCATGCCGCTTCTGCCATCTTCCTCTATTGGTCCAAACAACACCAGTCCAGATTCTAAAAGATCAGTAAACTCCACTCCTTCATGAGAAAATTAGCGAAGTCATCCTGTGAAGATATGTACAGATGGCACAGGTAAGATTATCATCGCCACCTATGTAAATGTACGATTGCCCAAATGAATGCCAACTTCTGCTTAAAGACTAAATTTGTTATTTTTACTCCTTGATATTTCAACAAAGTACAGTATGTAAAAAAAAAAGCAGTTTGTGAAGCAAAACATATGCGAGTCATGAAGAAAGTGAAAATAAATTCAGATTTTCCGCTCATCTTCGCTGAGAGCTTGCTTACGTCTCACCTGTACACTCACATTGATGTACTAGTTACCTTTCTCACTGCTCTTAAAAAGTACCTGACAGAAGCTCCTTAAAGGAGAAAGGGCTTGTGTTGGCTCACAGTTGAAGGTGCAGTCTGTCATGGCAGCCAGAGAGTGACGTGGTTAGTCACATCGCATCTTCAGTCAAGGAGCAGAAAGACATGAAGGTGGGTATTCGACTTGCTTTCTCCATTTTCAGTCCGGGATCGCCGCCCATGGAATGACATCACCCATACTGTGGTAGTTTATACTTAGAACATACTAAAGAAAATGGCCTCCAAAGTGAGTGGCACTATTAGAAGGTGTGGCCTTGTCGGAGGAAGTGTGTCACTGTGGGGTTAGGCTTTGAGGTCTCCTTTTCTCAAGCCATACCCAGTGTGGAAGGCAGTTCATTTCCTGTTGCCTGAGGATCAAGATGTAGAACTCTCAGCTCCTTCTTCAGCACCATGTCTGCCTGCATGCCTCCATGTCCCATGATGATAATGGGCTAAACCTCCAAAAGTGTAAGCCACCCCAATTAAATGTTTATGAGAGTTGCCATGGTCATAATGTCTCTTCACAGAATAGAGACCCTAACTAAGGCACATACTAACTGCTAGGCACTCCTAGTGCTTACGCATGCTCACAACAAGCTTGTGAAACAGGAACTATTACATCTGCACTAACAAGTTCATAGTGCTTAAGTGAGTTGCCAAAGGTCAAAAGTTAAGTGGCAGGGCTGGAATGTTAGCACAGGCAGACAGCCAGGTTTGTGCTGTTAGTACTCTTTCTTGTTTGGTTGTTTGGTTGATTGGTTTGGTTTTTAGAAAAGGCTAACCAAAAAATAGCTCAAGATACCTTTGAATTCATAATATCTATTCCCCACTAAGTTTTGTTTTGTTTTGTTTTTTGTTTTTTTTGAGACAGAGTTTCTCTGTCTTGGATCTCACTCTGTAGACCAGCCTGGCCTCGAACTCACAGAGATCCGCCTGGCTCTGCCTCCCGAGTGCTGGGATTAAAGATGTGCACCACCAGCACCCAGCTCCCACTTAGCTTCTTAACTGTTGGGATTACAGGCATATGATACCATACATATAAGGCTACATTCCTCTTTTTAATTTAACTTTTATTTTTATCATTACTTTTGTTTGAAGCCAGGGTATTACTATACAGTCCTGACTGCCCTGAAACTCACTATGTAGATCAGGCTGGTCTTAGAGTCACAGAGATCCACTTGGGCTTGCCTCCTGAAAGCTGGGATTAAAGGCACATACCACAATACCTGGGCATTTTTAAAAATTAACTTGCATTGATGCATCAATATTGTTATTTGACAATCTCATGCATCTCTATATAGTGTATTCTGATTACTCTGTCCTGGACATTCTCTCTTACCATCCCTATCAGCCCTACCTTTTCCCTATCTGTATCTTTAATGACTTTTAGTTTTGTTTTGTGACCATTTCATTTAATCATGGTCATCTATGTGACCTCTGGATTAGAAATGTCCTTTGGAAAGCCAGGCAGTAGTGGCACATGCCTTTAATACCAGCACCAGGGAGGCAGAGGCAGGTAGATCTCTGAGTTCAAGGCCAGCCTGGTCTACAGTGTGAGTTCCAGGGCAGCCAGGGCCATGTAGAGCGATTCTGTCTTGAAAAACAAAACAAAGAAGGAGGAGGAGGAGCAGGAGGAGGAGGAAGAGGATGAGGAGGAAGAGGAGGAGGAGAAGAGGAAGAGGAAGAAGGAAGAGAAGGAGGAGGAGGAGGAGGAAGAGGAGAAGAAGAAGGAGAAGGAGAAGGAGAAGAAGAAGAAGGAGAAGAAGAGTGTTCATTAGAGCCTGGTGGGGTCACTGTAGGTTTGAAGTGTAAGACAATTATTTCCCTGCACCTGGATCTATCAGTAGCAAACAGTTCAGCAGTGGGGAGCTTTGGGGCCCCTTACTCCTTCCCATGCAGACCTGAGGGTGGATAGGCCCGTTCTTGTGCAGACTCAGCACCGGCACCTGCAGCTGCTGGCGGTCCAGGATTGCAATTCTAGCTCTTGTGCTGTTTCTTCCTCCCTCTCCTGCAATGCTCCCCGAGCCTTTGAGGGAATGATACAAAAGTCTTGTTTAGGGGATGGATACTCACTTACCTAGCACCTAGCACCTTGTACAGCAATGAGTTTCTGCACTCTCCACCGCTCACTGAAAGCAGAGGCTTCTCTGATTAAAACTGAGCAAAGAATTTGTGCAAATAGATATTCAGAAGGCAGCCTGACACCACATCCACTTATTTAAACAACAGCATTCTGCTCCTTGCTAAAGCCTAGGATCTCCCCACCACCATGGGTTTTTGGATCGGATTTACGATGGCCTCATGGGTCCTAAGGCTCACATCTGGGCAGGACCACTGATGATGCTTCTCCTCCAGCAGTCTGCACAGCACCCCATGAGAGCTAGCCCGTAAGGAGGGAGCTTCCATCTCAGTTTCAGCCTGGGTTTTCTGTAGCATGCTTCCTAGGTATATGGTGTCTTCAGAAACAGGGTCTTACCATTTAGTTCCTATGGGGAACCAAGAGGAACGGCAAAACCTGTAATGTTTCAAGAGCTTCTGTGATTTCCCTGACCAACAATATTATAAGGAAATATCCCACCCCTGGCACTGGGATTTCTGTTTAATAACCCATGGCTTCTGCTTCTTAATCACTCTGTTCCTTGTTTCATAGTAACATGTGACTCAAGCACAGATGGCTGTAGCGAGTCTTTCTCTGTCCTGCCAGCCAGCTCCCAGATGAAAGGCATGGAGACTTCTTATTAATTATGAAAGCTCAGCCTATAGCTTAGGCTTGTTTCTAACTAGCTCTTATAACATGAATTAACCAATTTCTGTTCATTTATGTGCTGCCACGTGGCTCATGGCTTGTTACCTCATCTCCTACATGTCATATTTCCTCTGCATCTGGCTGGTGACTCCCTGTAACTCCTCCCTTCTTCTTCCTAGCATCCTCTGTGCCTAGAAATGCTGCCTAGCTATTAGCCATTCAGCTTTTTATTAAGCCAATCAGAGTGACATACCTTTACAGTGTACAAAATGATTGTTCCACAACAGATGGCCTTGCTTCACATAGGATCCATAAGGCTTTATATAGTTTTAGTACCCTCTAAGTAGAAACATAGGAGATTAGTTCCAAAATTTTTCACAGATAGCAAACAATATGAATGCTCAAGACCCTTACCTATAATGGCATGATATTTGCATATAAGCTACCTATATCCTCCCATGTACTTTAAATCTCTAAATTACTCATAACACCTAGTGCATGTAAATGCTATGTAAATAGTTATTATACTATATTGTCTAGAGAATAGTGATGGAAAAAGTTTGTAAAGGTTAAGGACTCATGCTTTTTAAAATTTCTTCTATAATTGACTGTGGATATGGAGGACCAAATTCACAGATGTGCCTAAGAGTCTGTCTGATTTAGTCTGTCTAGGACTGACGTTCATAGAAGAATAAAGATAAAGAAAACTGTAAATGTAGCAACATTTAAAAATGAAAATGTAAAGTATTAGAATAATACCATGGGTGCTGGGGTTGTGAGAGTATGTTTGGTGGGATTTAGATGGCTATACAGAAAAAGGAAAATAAGATTTTTTTTTACCTTAGTCAGCTAAGATAATATACGAGAATGCAAGTGGTCACCTATGATTAAAAAAAAATAACCAAACAATATCCGTGCAACATTTCTAGTTAACAGACTCAGCATTATTGACTATTAAAAAAAGGTGTTAAGAGTATTAGTGATACTCCTTTTATAAAAGATTAAAAACATAATTATGTATGGGGGGGTATGTAGACATGAGTGTGGGTACCTACAGAAGACAAGGGCATCAGATTTCCCTGGAGCTGGGGCCATTGTGAACCATCTGATATGGGTTCTGGGATCCAACTCTGGATTTCTGCAAAAATCAGTGCGGGCTCTTAACTGCCCGGCCACCTTCCAGGCCCTCTCTTGATATTTTTCAACTGCAGCCCATTATGAAGTCAACTCAACCATCATTGATAGGAATACCACACAGATATGTCAAAACTATCATTGATAATGTTGTAAATGAGTGTTAGGTTACATCCACGATTACAGGGATGGTAGGTTTGATGGTGTGTACCCTATGCAGTTTATAATATAGCTATAAACCAAACAGATTTTTCATATGCTTTTTATTGAATTATTAAAAGTTGGCCGTTTAAATGGAGCTGGAGACACACACTTTGGAAGAAAGAAGAGCTTTTCTAAACTTTCAGCTGCTGCATGAGAAAATGTAACTAATGATTGCTAGTCACAAGGAGGAGCTCCTTTAGAAGCTGGGCTTGCTGAATCATGCCTGGTCATGGGACTGGCCCCCAAGACTGATTAATTGGAAACAGCTGTGTCTGCATAAAGCCTGTCTTCACTTAAGAAGGTCAGCAGCTCCTAGAGGAAACCTTGCTTTAAATCTTCCTAGAAAGAAAAGACTACCTAACACTGTAGGAGAGCGATGGTTTGAGAATGGAGATAGAACCAGACTGAACTCTGTTGTAACTTGCTAAGCATTGTTAATAATTGTGGTACTTTTGACACTACAACGCTTGGACCACAGCATCAGAGCCCTCTGAAAGCAAAGGGTGGCTTCGGCATCAGTTTAGAATTGTAGAAGGCGAGTCTTGGAAGGAGCCTTAGAAATACCTCAGTCCAAACTCATTTCTTCCTACTTTAGAACAAACTGTTTCTCTAGAACCAAAGAAGTAACATTCCCAAGGGAGGAGAGCATGAGCGTATGTGTGCCTGTGTGTGTGTGTGTGTGTGTGTGTGTGTGTGTGTGTGTGTGTGTGTGTGTGTGTGTGCTTGTGCGTAAAACAACTTATGACTTTGATGTATCAGTTCCAAAAGGAAATGTAGTAGACCACATAACATAACACATAATAAGACAAATAAATAAACACTGTAACATTTGGGAGCTCACTTGAAACAGCCACTTGAAACTCCAGCTCAGGGGATCCAATATGCTCCCGCTAGGCAGACCCCTGTCCCCAGGTGCATATAGACACATGTACACATAGACGTGGACATACACACATACACACAGACATACAAATAAGCCTTAAAAAGAAACTTTTTTTAAAAAAAGAAATGCAAGTATTTTCTTGAGTTGTTTCTTTTTAACCTCTCAGAGCTGTTGACACCCACTGTCCTGCTACCCTAAGCAGATGTAGAGAGGGGCTATAGCACTGGTGAGAAGAAGAGGAGGACTAACGGGCTCTTGCATTCCCATTAGGATCTGCCCAAACTCCAGGACAAACGGTCCGTCATCCACTAAGCTACCACTCACTGATGCGTATTATTATGGGGTGTTTTCAAAACACCGAGAGCCCTTCAGGAGCCTGCCATACAGTATTACTACTGATGCTACCATGACTACAGCTACCACTGTTGCTTAGCCAAACACTTAAGAGGCACACAGATCCAGAGATGGGTGCAATAGCAGTGGTCTGACTTTTAGGGAAGTCTTCACGAATGGTTACACCTAGGCTGGCTTTGAACAACCATAGAACTTGTGCTCACAGGCATTTTGAGAAGCCCAGAATGGTGTATATATACATATATGTATGTATATATCTCATATGCAGTAATATGTATATACATGTGTTCCAGTGTATGCAGAGCCCAGAGGTTGTGTTCACTGATTACTTTACACATTTTTTGGACAAGTCTTTCACTGAATCTGGAGCTTAATGATTGGCTAAGCAGGATGGCCGATGAGCTTATGGAAACTGCCTACTTCACCCTACCCCCAGCACTGGATTACAGATGTGTGCCACCCAGCCACTCATATGGGTGTTGAGGATCTGAACACATGTTCTCATGCTGTGTGGTGGGCACTTTACCAAATGAGCCATCCCCCCATTTCCAAGAGGGGGATATTCTAGTAAACAATACACACGGATATGAGCTAGGATCCATCAGAATAAAGCATAGGAAGAAGATTGTTGAGAGCCACTGCTGGGAAGAAAGACTCAGGGAAATCAGCAGAAATGAACCATGGTTTGCCTTCTTGTCTAGGTATTTTCATCGTGGTAGAAAACATTTTAAAAACGTAGCCTGTCTTTATAGCCTATATTAATCATGTCAATTAAGAACACTTGAAGAAAATAGATTTCAGAAGAAGTAATATTTTTCTATCACTTAATAAATTTCTCTGACTGGGCAAGGTGGCACATTCCTATAATCTGACCTTATGAGAGGCAGAGGCGGGAGGGTCACTAAAATCTGGAGGCCAGCCTGGTTTATTAAAAAGTTCCCAGGCTAGCCAGTGTTGCATATTGAGGCTGTCTCAAAAACGAAACACGAATAATAATCTGCTCCATTTCTCTCCAGTACTCTTTTCATGGACCTGAGTACACTAATCACAACACCACTAATAATGTTCTAATTACATTTGAGTTCTTCTGACCCATGCACAATCTTAGGCATGAGTTAAGTCTTTTAGGGAAAATGCATGTCCAAAACATGGGTTAGTTTTTCCAGATGCTTGTGAGGGGGCATAGATCTCTTTCTGTGCCCTGTAAGGCATGCTGTGCTGTGTCTTCATGGGTAACCTCGATTGGTGACCTCTTGACAAGGGGAGGGGGTGGCGGGGGCGGGGGCGGCAGGAGAGGGGGTCACTGCTCAGTTCGCTTCTGTCATTTATGTCAATCATTTTATGACATCACTCTCCAGTCCTGTGTCGTCAATTGTGATTCTCATCTTTGTCCATGCAATAAGCTAGTGTTCCTTAGATTGTATGTGCACAGGAGTTCCCCTAACGTCCAACTTAAAGGCAGGATCAGACACAATAGACATGGGTCTCTCTGCTGCCCAGTGAGAGTGTCTACTCCAGACATTGACTAATGCTCAAGGAAACAGAGCAGAACTTCGTGTTTTCTCAGGTAGTGCCTAGTGCTGGGGACCCCAGAGGGGTAGTGATGTCACCAGGCAGCAGGTGTGCCAGAAATGTCCCCATTAGCTAGTTAAATAACTTTATGGCATATAGTAGACTCTAAATGTTACTCAGTATCATCATAATAACTTATTTCCTGCTTCTGTTGTTAGAGCCCAGTTCACTTCTTACAAGGGTGAACACTGCCCAACATTATGTATATTTGTTTTGGTATTTTTTTTTTAGACTGCGTCTCTCTACATAGCCCTGGCTGTCCTAGAACACACTATGTAGACCAGACTGGTCTCAAACTCACAGAGATCTGCCTGCCACTGCCTCCCAAGTGTTATGATAAATATATTTTAAGTAGACATCATAGCTGTCTTGTTTTCTCCTTACTTTTCCTCAAACGAGTGATCATCTGCTTCCATAGTGTGGTCGACCCTTTATTCTATCCTGTCCATGTGGGTCCTGGTCAATTCCATTCCCACTGGAGGGTTAAACATCATATTCTATTTCTGCTGTCATTCAGCATATCTTCAGGCTTCTCTCCTATGCAGGTCTGTGACTGGGGCTGTTGTAGTCTAGTTTGAGAAAGCAGAAATAGAGATCTAATGGGCCAAGGGATGACTTATAATAATCTGCTTGGTACAAATCGTCATAGAGGTCCAGCTTTCTTTTGCCCACCACCCCAGAGTCCTGGATTCTGTTAACTTCTAAATTACACACACACACACACACACACACACACACACACACACACACACACGTGTGTGTGTGTGTGTGTGTGTGTGTAACATGCAGGTGATGAGGCACTTAGGATTGATTAGATGTATGAAATGAATTGGCATCATGTTAGTATTGTTGCTTAAGACAAGTATCTTGAGCACAGCTCTGCGAAGCCCACCTTGTACTTAAAAATCCATCATGGACCAGTAATGGCAATGTCTAGGGCAGACTGCCTCCTGTCCTGCCACATCCTCAGGCTTTGCTCTGTTCCTTTCTTTGCATACTCTTCTTCTTCCTACTTTAGACAAATTATGTGACTTCTATTGCCTCTGCCTGCATAAGCTCATTTTTTTTTTTTCTTTGCCATAGCCTATGCTGGCTTCAGTGAACTATTTTAAACTCCCTGATTCTACTAGGGTCTCTTAGAGCTGTCTTTGTGTTTTTGTGGGATGCTGAATGCTTTGCCTGGAGTGCAGTT